CCACCCCCCACCCCCACCTAACCCCACCCCCCAGAGAGGTGAGAGCTTTCAGTCTAAGTCCCGTCTTTTATTCTTAAGACAATGGCTCCACCCGGAGCAGGGACCTAAATAGGAATCTGCCACCTCCCCGGTCACCTGGGAGAGAGGATTTCCCCAGTCAAACCCCTTCTAAAGGGGCAGAGGTAGGATTCGAACTAGGAAATCCAAGGATCTCCCACCTTCTAGGCAAGCACGCAACCACCGGGCTACAGAGTGATCCAAACGCTAGAGCTGCCCCAGGCCACACTTAAGTAAAGGGGAACAGCGCCAACAGGTAAGAGTAATGGCACTTGCTCTTCAAATGAAACACTTTCACCCCCCGCAGGGACTCGAACCCCTTCTGTGAGCAGCCTAGGCAAGTGCTGTGACCACTGCCCTATGGTGAGTTTTACAGAGTTAGCTCTCTCTTTGGCCCAGTTAATAGTTTATTAAAGTGGAACAAGTGTCAACAGAAAAACCAGAGTATTTCAATGTTTCATTCACACCACCAGGGACTTGAACTAGGGACACTCACACCACAAGTCAACACACTAACCACTGCCCTATGGTGAGCTTTACAGAGTTAGCGCTCTCTTTGGCCCAGTTAATAGTTTATTAAAGTGGAACAAGTGTCAACAGAAAAACCAGAGTATTTCAATGTTTCATTCACACCACCAGGGACTTGAACTAGGGACACTCACACCACAAGTCAACACACTAACCACTGCCCTATGGTGAGCTTTCATGCCAACTGGCTTCTCTTTGGCCCAATTAATAGTTTAGTAAAGTGGCACAAGTGTCAAGAGGAAAGCCAGGGTATTTCCTTATTCAAATTCACTCACTCCATCAGGGACTTGAACTAGGGGCATTCACACCACAAGTCAACACACTAACCACTGCCCTATGGTGAGCTTTCATACCAACCTGCTTCTCTTTGGCCCAATTAATAGTTTAGTAAAGTGGAACAAGTGTCAAGAGAGGAGTCAAGCATTTTAGCACTCCCCTCCAATTCACAGGGAATTGAACCAGGAGTGCTCATACCACAAACCAACACACTAACCCTTACCCTATACAGAGCTTCTTTTTGGCTAACTTAATAGTTTATTGAAGTGGAACAAGTATCAACAGAAAAGCCAGGACATTTCAGTGCTCAAAACCATTTGCCTAGGAGGGGAATTGATCCAGTAGCAGTTACCATACTAGTCAACACATTAACCACTACTCTACAGAAGACTTATTATGATCAGCTTTTGCTTTGACCCAATTAATAGTTAATCAAAGTGGAAGGAACTTCAAGAAAAGTTCGTTTTTAAACAGGAGATTCAAACCAGGATCACACATGGTATATGTGTACCCTCACACCTCAGAATACAACCGTAGATGTTAGCTCTGACCCAATTAATAGTTAATCAAAGTGGAAGGAACTTCAAGAGAAAAGCCAGGCCATTTCAACTTTCAAATCCATTTGCAGCACCTGGCAGACAGGGGAACTGAACCACTACAGCAGGAAATACCAATTACTACATTAACCACTACCCCACAGAAGCCTTTCTATTGCTGGGCTTGTCTTTGAGCCCATTAATAGTAAACCAAAGCAAAATCACTTCACCTAGACAGCAGGACTGGTCAAAGCCCTGATTGTCCCATGACCTCCACAGTTCCAAGTGGGGGCCCTAATCACAGGCTTGCAGAGGGCTGCTTTGTTTTGGCCATTAATAGCTAATGAACGTGGGACAGTGGCATAAGGAAGGCTGAGGTTGCTCCCTGCTCCACTCCTGGCCCCTCAGCCCACAAAGGGAGCAAGTGAACCTAAGTATGAAACAGCCCAGGAGACTTTCTAAACCACTGCACAATGCAGCACTCAACAGGCAGCATGTTGTCCAATGACAGTAGAACAGCTTCAAGGGGAAAGACTCGGGGCACCCCACTCTATGCTGTCATTGATAAGCTAGTAAATGAAATTAGTAAACAGATTAAGTGCTTTAACACTCTCATGTTAGTTTATCAAACTTCATTTTAAATAAGGTAAAATATTAATTTATGTCCAACACAAAAGGTTTCAATGTTGTCTTCATTTATGGCAGGGGCAGGGAATCTTTCTTGGGGCGAGGGGGGGGGCAGTGACACACAGAACAATCAGTTGGGGACCATGTAAGTGAGAAGCAAAAAAAAAAAATCCTCCAAAAACCCCCAACCTTCACTGATGTGCCCGCCAATTGAGACACCCAATAGTAACGCACCATCACTTCACATTTTTGCAGTACAGTTTTACTAACTTTAAGTAACATGGACAAAGATGAACAGGCCCTCCTCTGGTGAGAAAAGTATTGTCATACAGTGTTCAAACTGTAGTAGACTGCAGAGGAATTGAATTAAATCCATAGTAGGGCTCTTACGCCTGGTCTACACTAGGCTTTGTCTACACTGCCAGTTTTGCCCGCAGCAATTATGCAAATGAGGCCCAGGTTAGTATATTGCCTTGCCTCATTTGCATAATTTATTCACACTGTTTTTGCAGAAAAAAAGTAGTGTAGACAGGGGGTTTTGCAAAAAAACCCTATCCACACTACTTTTTCCACAAAAATGGTGTTCATAAATTATGCAAATGGGGTGCAGTGATATGCTAATCTGCATCTCATTTGCATACTCACTGCCAGTATAACCGGCAGAGTAGATGTAGCTTAGGAGTTTAGATTGACTTTAGCTGCGTACAGTCAATTTTTCTAAGTGATGTGTCCGCACTACCAACCCTGTCGCATCAACCTCAAGGGCCATGGAAGTCTGTTTCTGTACTGCTTTTCACAAGGATATTAGGGAGATTCCCAAACCT